GAGAATTTTTCAAAGGAAATCCAAGTATAGTATATACAGGGTGTTTTCTTCGCTGATAATACAGGGATCTTGGAAACTACAGCAAACTTGATTATCAGAACCATTTTCAAATAGTCTATTTAGTGAAGTGGAAATTTTCTCAAAATGTCTCAAAAAAGCACGGTAGAAGTTTCAGATCCGAAATAATAGACATTTTCGGCACATTTTAAGCGTTCACGATCTTAAGCTTTCTTCCTCATTTTTCAAGTGAATTTTCATTCAGAAAAAAAACGTACTCAAACTCTAGATCACTTTTGTTGATTTTTATTGCCCTGTTTCTGCCGGGATTCACATTCGTGAAAAGGGACTTTAAATCTATTCTGGAACGTCCAGTTAAAACTCTATCACTAAACCCGCGAATCCGTAAATACACTACAGCTCGCAACCGTTTCCTTCTCTATGCCTTTTGCGCCCCTTTTACAGCAGAAAAAGCGACGCAATTTTCCCATTAACTTGTTTACAAACTAGTTTTCCAAGCATAGTAAAACATAGCAAAGAAAACTGGGTTAATATGGGAATGTGAGGGTCGTGTTCAGTAAAAGGAGAACTCAGAGTTTGTTTAGTGCCCTAGAAGTTAAGACGCTCTACAGCTATTCAGATGGCAAACACAACGCGATTCAAATCTGGATTCTTTGCTCTGAAAGATCAAAAATTTGAAGTAAAAAGTAAATTTGAAGGAAAAACTGTAAAAAATATAACAGTTTTAAAAGGGTATGGAGCAGCTTTTTGCTGAGTAAGCCAATTTGAAAAAACCGCGGTCATCATTTGTGCGTTATTCTCACTATGCCACCCAAGCCAGTTATTAAAACACGGCTCGTGTTTAAAGTGACTGTTGATATTGTTTATAAGTGCATCATTTCAAATCGATTAAATTCTGCTGTTGTTAAATTGTAACAATTAAACCACGCGAACAGCATCACTCACACTCGATAAAACCGCTGGGCAAAATGACGAAACCGAATGCAATTTACATGAAAGTCCCTTTTAATTGTGCATAATTGTGTGCGAATCAACCGGTCCAAGCACGTATCTTCGCAACCAGTCGACTTCCAGCAGCCTGGTATTGCCCATGCAGACCATCATGTGCACTGTCAGATATAGACAAAAAAGAATGTAGAAAAAGGCGATCGACCCGATCAACACCAAAAGCGGCCAGGCGAAGTTGTAGTCCCGGATGGCTACGATCACGAAGTAAACATTGATGGCAATGATGAACAGGCTCAGAGCGATTGACATGATCTTGTTGGCTCTGCAAGAAACAACAGCGATGACTAAACGAAACACTTGCGGAAACTCGGAAAGTCCTTACAGGCCGTTGGCAAACTCGCCCATAATCTTGGAGCTGCTGGTGAAGGCGATCAATGGAATGGTAGCAAACGGCAACTGAACACTCATCAAGACGTTCAAGATATCGTTGAAACTGGTCAAGCGTTCGATGGTGGTGAAGAAGGCCACACAAAACGTGGGAACGATGGCGATGCTTCTGGTGAACAGCACTCGCTTCCATTTCGCCCAATGGAGGTTTAGGAAGCCCTCCATCACGAATTGGCCAGCATACGTACCTGACCGGAGGTTTTAAGTATAATGAGCACACGCAAGAGGATTGTGATATGCTGAAAAGGGCAGCTTTACAGTAAACTGGAAAAACTCTACCTGTCATTGTGGAGCTTTGTCCAGCCGCCAGCAGGCCTACAGCCCAAATGTACATCGCAGCCACACCGTATGTACAGCCCAAAAAAATCCCCCCATTGTACAGATCAGCGTCAACCAGCTGGTTGGCTGCTTCCCCCGTGCTTGGAAACACTGAAGCATTGATGGATGTGTAATTGGCACAGGAATCATGCTGGAAAGCATTGCAGTGTTCTTGTAACGTAAAGCAACTGTTGAGTGAAACTTACCACTTCCTTGTTGGTCTTCAGGTAGAGCCCGTGAGCGAAAACGGCCAGCACGAAAATGTTGATGATCAAACTGACGAAAATGGCCACTGAACATTCAATGAAATAGTAGAAGTTCGCCTCTCGGACTTTTTCGCTCCTGCTCCTGTCCACATCGCGGGATTTAACCAACGCGGAGTGAAGGTAGAAGTTGTGCGGCATTATAATGGCCCCTGGAGGCAGCAGTTCGAATTGCGGCTCGAAGAACAGCCCAAAGACTCACCGATAATTCCCACTGCTTGCAAAAGGGCTCGCTGGTCGCAGTTGGAGCACCAGGGGTAAAACAGGCCCTTCAACACATCCGCAGTGTCCGGCTGGGATGTTCCGTACTCGAAGCCGAAAGTCACAGTCATAATGCTTATTAGAAGAATGAAAAATGACTCGAGCTTTCGGAGGCCGTAGTTGTCGATGAAGAGGAAAGTGAACGTGTCGAGGATCGTTATCAGCACGCCACCCCAAAGAGGAACCCTGAAAAGGCCACAGTAGATCGCTCCACACCCTCAACTAGCCACATTTACTTCGTGTTAGAGAGCAGGAAAATGGCAATGGCAGTTCCGATGACTTCCTGCATGTCGCTGCCGATGATCGCAATTTCCATCATCAGCCACAGCAGGATGCGGGGAAGCTTTTGGTAGTGGCGGTAGCACAGTTCGGCCATATGGAGGCCCGATACTACACCTGAAAATTCCAGGTTTTTACCCTGCAAAAGCAGTAAACCCGCGCTCTACCTAATCGGGCAGACAGTCTTTGCATTAAGAGCCCCAGGATGGTGGCGATGAGGAGCACCCAAAGCAGCTTGTAGCTCACGATGGTGCCACATTGCAGGTCGCTTTCGATGTTACCGGGATCCAGAAAGGCGATGGACATTAGGAATCCTGGACCGCAAAAGGCCCACAGCTTTCGCCAGCTGAAACTCGTCTAATTGAGGGGAAGCTGGTCAGAATGGGATTAACATTTGATGCGTCAGTAAAGAATCTTTAAGCCAAATTGCGGTTCATTCAAGTTCAACACATTGTTGAAGTGATAACTTTTTATGGGAGGCTGAACCGATTTTTCTCGGTCATGGCGGCTCCCACTCCGGCCTCTTCGCGCCTGAGGCTTTATTTTCTCTTAGTGCGGGTGCATCTGTAGATCTGATAAACTTTTCAAATACACATTGCGTTATTAAACTGAATATTTCCCTCGTGTGATAATCTGCCCGTTTGAAGTGTGCAATTATCGAAAAATTACAGCCGTAATTGCACAGTGTTGCACAATTGCAAACATTCTACAAGACTGGGCGTTCAACATGAAAAGACAGAATGGTGAAGATTATAAAGAATATACTATAAAAACTATTTGGAATGTTACCGCTAAATTACTAATGGATAAATACTACAATGAACATAACGTTCGCTATAATCCGTTTCAAGACATCGAATTTAAATTGGCTCGCGAAGCTAAAAACGCAAAAGGAAGGAGCTGCAACGGGAGCCCCAGAAAAGAAAAGAAAAGAAAGCTCTGTTTTCATGAAATATGCGGAATTTAAGAAAATGGTCGAAAGCTGTGATGAAGACACTTCAGGTGGCCTGCAAAAGAAACTATTCTGTGTGTTATCCTATGAGTTAGTATGGCGTGGAGAAGAAGGATCGAGATGCTTGACAACATATTTCAAAGAAGTTGACAATGTAGGTGGAAAAAGCGGAAGAGTTGAATATAGTCCAATATTTACCAAAACGACACAAGGTGGGGAGGGACCATGCGCATCATCAAAGTGGTTAATTCGTAATCGAATTAGTCCTCAGAATTGCCCAGTTCGACTCTTTCACAAATTCATGCAGAAGAGGTCAAATATCAAAATAAACCGTCTCTTTTTAACCATCAACCCTGCTTGGAAAACGAGTGAATGGTACAAAAATATACCTTCTGAGGAATACGATCAGTCAGTGGACTTCTAAGCAATCAGAAAAATCAGGTCTAGCTACTGCCTCAAAAAAACTGACAAATCATTCTCTGCGAGCAACAGCCGTTTCAAAATTGGCTAAAAAAGGGGTTGGAGAACAGCAGTTCAATTACACCATATCTCCAAATGGATGATGAACATCATCTGCAAATTATTGAAAAAATGAGAGACAATGATGGTGCTGAGGTCCAGCCAAAAATGTGTGAAACAGCGGTGTCTTCAGAATGTTCTCCATCAAGTGTTTCTGCAGTTCCCGCCAAATCAGCTGGGGCAACCGCTAAAAGTAACACACATTTTAATTGCAGCTCTTGCAACTTTTAGAATAGGCTTTTTTAGATTACTTAACAAGAACCCGTGCAGTTCTTCCGCAGAACTGAACGGGTTCTGATGAGAACAGTGTAAGCGTTCAAGCAAACCACTTCTGAAGATGCAAGCCACTCGTGCTTGCGAAACGTCAAGAAGAAATTCAGAAGAATTTAGAAATTTTAAACTAATGGGTTTTTCGGTAGATCTACCGATTTGTCAAGGAACCTACCGATCTACCGATACCAGAGACCGATACGATGCAGATTTCTACCGAAAAGTAACAAATAAAATTTTAAAAATCCGTGGATTACTTAAAATAATATA